GTATCGAGAAGGTCCTCCATTTCCCTGGTGGAAAACGTGGTTAAGTTTAACCATCTAGCCCTTTCCTGTAGAACCAGGAGCCCCATAGCTCTCCCCATAGCCTGGATTGCTACTTTATGGAGATGGAGATAGTGATCAGTGATGATACACACTTCTTCCCACAGTGTAGCATCCGGTGACACAGTCATCTCCTCCTCCAGCTCCGCCTGATCAGCATCATCAGCATAGAAGAGGCATTCATGGCGCGAACTGATAGAGTGGCCACCTTGTAGGATTTCTCCATCAGGTTTGATTGGAAGCAGTCCGCTGCTGAGGGAAGGGATGGAGCCGACCCACCCAAGGTCATCAAAGCTTTCAGGTGAAGGTGCGCTGCCACCACTGCTCGACTCGAGGCATTTGGCGGAGACCGTGGTCATCCATTCCCTCGCAGTCTAGAACTGAGCCACCTGCCACTGGGTGCTTCTCCCTGTACAGTTTGTTGCACCAGGAAACTGAAAATTCCTCCAGCAACTCAGGAAAGAAAGGCAGGAACTATTTTCCCGTTCTCTTGGCTTTTGGCAGTTTTTTGTCATCGAAACGTGATCTTGCTTCTTCAGCCTGAACTTCGGGCCACTGGATATTAAGTTTTGCTGCGGCGCGTTTACACACGTCATGCAGGTCCACATCCAAGTCAGACAAAGAAGAGTCACCATCATTGGCCTTGCTGAAGCCCAAAGGTGTGGGTTTTGTGACCCAACCTCAGAGCACCAGAGGCGGTTCATCATCCTCATCTTTGTCGGTGATGAGAAGCTCAGAACCTGCATCCGAGTCTCCGTCATCATCACCTGCCATGGGGTAATCGAGAGGGCAAGTTGTGAAGCTATTGGCCACTCACATCCAGTGGCAACGGGTTAACAGCGTCAAGCATATCGCCCCAGCTTGGTCCTGGTTCTGCATCAGGGACCAGTATTAGTCCTTGAGCCGTCGTTTCTTGGCTAGCTGCAGCAGAAGCCAGGATGGGGTCACCTCCGAACAGTGTCAACTGACACATAATGGTCAGAAAGAAAAAGAAAACTAGCGTTCAGTGCTGCGTCGCCCAGAAGGCGACGCAGCACCTTGAGTGAGAGCCGACTACAATGAGAGCACTCCTCCGATGACTCGAGGGCTGCTTGGGTATGCCTTAAGCCAAGACATGTCACACATATTTGGTGAGTGTCCCAACTCAAAATTTTACTTCCACACGGGCAAGCTTGTGGGTTTTCGTCTGCTTTAGCATCAGCCTTTCCAGCGTCCATGCTAATTGCAGGAATGATTTCTGTGAAGCTACAGTGAAGCTGGTGACAGCTAAAATGGCTAGCCTGATATGGCAAGGTGTCAGGGAGTGTTGCACCTTACCCTGCTGATAGCTAGCACAGCAAAACTATAGCTTGGGTAAAGTGTCACTACTTCTACCGGTATTGCTACCAATGGAGTATTGTTACTTGAGTGAAAATAAGTGAAGCATATTTTTACCCAACACAGTTTTCGCAGCTAATAGTGCCGTTTTGCAACAGACTGAATGCTAGTTTTCTTCTGGTATACAGTACCAGTCTGGAACGAAGCGCCCAGCGACCGAGTTCGCACTCGTATCTATGGACAGTTAAGCTAGGCTCCAGAACGGCAGGCGAAAGAGAGAAAACCAGTTGGGACTTGTGCTCGTAACGAGAAGAGGTTTTTGAATTATCTGTCTGTGCAGGGCAAGTGCAGGGGGTGTTACATTCCCCCTCTCCCTGGCACTGACAGACTTACCCCCAGACAATCAGGGTTGGTGGAATGTAATACGAGCTTCTGATCAGGTCACGCCCAGGGCATTCCCCACAGTGAGACACTCACTCATACTACTCAGAGAACCGAGGTTACGAAAGTAACCTAAAGTTACTTACTGCAGCAGTTACTGGGTGGAACTTGAGCAGCGCTCCATCTGTGAAATATTACTGCTAGTAGCGCGGTGCGGCAGTCCAATACCGAGAGCAGAATCAGCGTATTACACCGCTAGCTTGTTAACTTAAAATTATTTTTTGGGTTATTTGTTTAGCTTTCTGACCATTATGCTCTTACAGGTGAATGTTGGTAGTTGTGTGCTGCTTTACCTGCTATCTGACTGCTCCGGATGTATTTTTCTCCTGCAGTGAGCTTCGACATAGCCAAAATCCATCAAGTGCTTGTTTTTTAAATGTCATATTAGATTCATTGTGTTAATTAATTTTTACATGTTTCACACCCAAGGTATTTTTCCGGTGTAACACACAAACGTCCCCTTTCACTCAAAACGTTACAGTTCCCACACGACATTGCTTAGCAGTTATTGCCGAGCACTTGCGCAGTGTGAAGGAAAGAGGGTAACACTTTATTTGATGGGGTGTGCATAAGACTGACATGACATGACATAGCATCTGTCATGAATATGAAGATAATAAACATTCATAAAGATATGAGAGGCCCCATCGGCCAAAACCTACAAACTCTCTTACACGTACTATAAAACCCTCTCACATTCGCTATCAAACCCTCTTACACGTACTATCAAACTCTCTGAGAGTTTGATTGCAACGGAAGTTAACTTAAAATTTCAGTTTCTGATTGGACCCCAGGCAGGCTTTTCAAAATAAAAGCGGATCTCCGGTTTATGTTTGATTCATGTTTCTCTCCTGCGGCTTTAAAAATTTAAAACTTTGTGTTAATTGATTGGCTAAATGTTAGAGCCATAAAAAGGAAATATTTAAGTTTTTTGTAAGATGGTTTGTTTGTATTTTATAAAATTTAGTTAGGACGATTGATATTTGTTTAGGCATTTTTATTGTGCAATTTAGTTTTATTTTGAAAGGTATAGAGAATGAAACAGATATTGGATCTATTGCCATAACACTAAAGGAAATCATGTATCTGAAAATAAATTAAAACATATTATGTGGGCAAAAAATTTTGTAAACCACATATGTGCTACCTCAATCAAAATTGCTGACATTAGACATTTAACAAATCTTCCAGATTACATAAACAATACCTTACCAGGTACTTCTCCGACTTCAGGATGACACAGGGACACCTATAAGACCAATTTTAACTGAGGTTGCACATATGTGCTTTACAGGATTTTTTGCCTACACAATATTTTTTTGTTTCAGATACATAATGTTTTGCAAATTAAAACCCTCTATGGCATGGCGTTGCCCTCAGGCAACAAACCACATTTCTGTACCTCACATTGCTCTGTAATTTTATTTTGGGGGGAATGATTTAAAATACCTCCAGACATATTTTTGTCCAAATAAAAGAGGTATTGAGGTTCATGTGACCTTTTACTTAGAAGAGCAGCAGTCCTTTTTATGAAGCAGATGTGTATGCTACACCTTGCCTCCTACTTGTAAGTTATACATCACTTTTCTTCATGTTTAAATTTGGGTCACTCTAACTAAAATAAAATAAAATAAAAGCGCATCTCCAGTTTATGTTTGATTCACACATCAAGTTTCTCTCCTGCGGCTATAACAGGCTAAAGCTTTGTGTTAATTAACCCTCTATGGCATGACTTTTTTATTTTTTGGGGGAAAAATATTTCTGACCTGAAGGGAGGGAAAAATGCAGGAATTATCAACTGAAATGGAGAAGTTGACTTAGTATTGATGTAGTACCACTTAAGAGTCCGTTTTATTGCAATTTAATTTAAGAAAGTTAAGGGTGAACCATTGTCTTATTTCAAGTGAGGGATGAAAGTGGAATCATAGAATTAGGTTTGGTTGAGAGATAGAGCTGGGTATCATCCGCATAGCTGTGAAACTGAATATTATGTTTGCGAAAAATATAAGGGAAGAAGGTAAATTATAAACAGCAAGGATCCCAGAACAGAGCCCTGGGGAATACTTCAGGTAACGGGAACAGGATGAAAGGTGAATGATTTTAACTGAACGAACTGAGTGTAGCCTGAGAGGTACAAATGAAACCAGTTCAGAGGTGTATTTACAATATCAAGAGAGGATAATCTGTCAAGGAGGATGTTATGTGAAATTGCAACAAAGGCTGTAGTTAGATCAAGCAGAAGGAATATGGATAATAAACCAGAGTCAACAACAAGGAGTAGATCATTAGTAATTTTAAGAAGTGCTGTTTCAGTACTGTGAAGTGGATGGAAACCAGATTGGAATTGTTCATATAAATTATTGCTGGATAGATGAGAATGAAGTTGGACAGCAACTGTTTTCAAGAATTTTAGAAATGAATGGAAGATTTGAAATAGGATGAAAATTACTGAAGTTATTGGGATCTAAACCAGGAAGAGAATCTAGTGGTTTGGTAATATTTGCAGGCTCAGATCTACCACACCAGACAAGTCCCAAGGTGTAGGTTGTGCAAGGAGGCCCCGGAGACAGTCCAGCACATAACAGCAGGGTGCAAGATGCTCTCAGGGAAAGCGTACATGGAACGACATAACCAAGTGGCGGGCATAGTGTACAGGAACATCTGTGCAGAATATGGACTGGAAGCCCCGAGATCAAAGTGGGGAACACCCCCAAAGGTGGTGGAGAATGACCGAGCTAAGATCCTGTGGGACTTCCAGATCCAGACAGACAAAATGATAATGGAGAACCAACTGGACATTGTGGTGGTGGATAAACAACAGAGCAAAGCAATTGTGGTGGATGTAGCAATACCAAGTGATTGCAACATCAGGAAAAAGGAGCAGGAGAAACTGGAGAAATACCAGGGCCTCAGAGAGGAACTGGAAAAGACCTGGAAGGTGAAGACCACAGAGGTGCCTGTGGTCATCGGGGCCCTCGGGGCAGCCACCCCCAAACTGGAGCAGTGGCTAAAACAGATCCCAGGAATAACATCAGACATCTCAGTCCAGAAATGTGCAGTTTTAGGCACAAGATACTGGAGGAGAACCCTCAAGCTTCCAGGCCTCTGGTAGAGGACCCGAGGTCAGAGGATGAAAGAGAGACCACCCGCAGAGGGTGAAAAGGGACTTTTTTTATATATATATATATATATACACACACACTTATATGTATACATTGGTTGTACATACAGACGATCTTGAAGTTCACTGGTGTCCTGTTTGGTCCCCAATTGGTTCACCATAGTCTTGATCTGAGCAGCTATAATGAAAAAATAGAAACAAAGATTAGCTTATTTAAATAAAAGCAGTGCTCTTCAGTGCCCTCTACAAAGGGCAGTAGAGTAAAGGAAAAGAATCAATTAAGTTGAGATTTAAAGGTACTCAGTGTTTCAGCTGTTTTACAGTTTTCTGGAAGTTTGTTCCAAATTTGTGGTGCATAGAAACTGAATGCTGCTTCTCCTCATTTTGTTCTGGTTCTGGGGATGCAGAGCAGACCAGAACCAGAAGATCAAGCAGAACAACTACATTCCACAACAGCTTCATCCCTCGTGCCATAAGGATACTTAACTCTCATTAGTTTAATCTTTTATTACATATATTTACATTGATACATTTATTATTACTTACTTATTTATTATTATTGGAGCCTTGCAACAAAATTTCTTTCAATTTGTGCATTTTTAAATGTATGATTCTGTGCTTAGCCCCCTCCTGTATTGCCTCTACACCCAAGACTGGCTCACAACAACAGCCGCATCGTCAAGTTTGCTGACGACAGTGGTCAGACTCATCTCACAGGGTGACGAGACAGCCTACAGAGAGGAAGTCCTGAAGCTGGCATCCTGGTGTTCAGAGAACAACCTCACTCTCAACACCAAGGAGCTCAACACTAACTCAGCTCCTCTCTACATTAACGGTGAGAGTGAGGAGAGGGTCCACACCTTCAGGTTTCTTGGCGTCCTCATCTCTGAAGACCACTCCTAGACTGACAACATTGCAGCAGTCATCACACCTAAGATGCACATGTATGATTTCGAGACGACTAGTGGCGAGGGAATGAAATTCGCCGTTGGCCAAGCCACACAGTTCAGCCAGTGTCATTTTATGTCATTTGGCACAGGTTTAAGCCTATATGAATGAAAGAGTAAAAGTAAGAGAAGCTAAGCGCACCCTTGCATCAATCAAATTTGACAAGTGGGCGGGACTTCCGGTTTTATGAGGTGGGACTTCCGGTTTTTGAGGCGGGACTACCAGTTTGGGGATGGATGGGGTCAGGGGGGACTCAGTGGGGGGGT